GGAATCGAACCCCAATCACCTGGATCCTAGGTCGACACTCAACCGCTGAGCCCCGCCCAGCTGGGCCAAGCAATTTTTTTTAAACAATAAAAATATAGAGAACAGCAGGCCTGGCCATACCTGCCAGGTGAATGAATACTACATAGTGATCCCTCTACCTCACCCTGGGCACAGAGAAGCCTCTCAACCAAAACTTACAAATCACTGAAACAGAAATATAGAATGTCCCCCAAAAATGTGTACACACTTTGAATAATATAAAGCCAGTGTCTATTAACATAGAGTTCATTTTCAAAATTTTTAAAATCTACAGAAATGAATAATTATTTTATTTTATTTTTTTTTTTTGGTCAATGCCTGTTTTCAAACCGATGACCATTCTGGTCCAGGCACTGCTGATAACACGAAGCAATGGAGTCGCAAACATTAGGAATCATTTTGTTCGTTATTTGTACGCCCTCAGTCCGTTGACTGTTGCCAGTTTTGTACCGTAAACTTGATCTTTTATGTATCCCCATAAAAGTCTAGTGGCATTTTAGGGTAAATTTTCTTTATTTCAGAGCTTAGTCTGACTTCACCCATTATTTCAAATCCATTAAGCCTGTAAAGGAGTGAAAATTGAGTTACCAGCTGTTAAAGCGTGTGTACGTGTTTTTGGAATGCCCTGTATTTAAGAGGACACGCAAATCACAGCAGCACAAGGCATTTGGCTGAAGCCAACAGTATAGCGAGAAAAAAATAAAAAGCTGTTAATACAAAAATGCAAAGCGCTGTGGGTGTGGCGTAGCGGAGAGAGGGGTGTGGGGTCAGAAGACCAGCGCTCCTTTCCCCTCTCCATGTGCTACCTGTGTGCCTTTGGACGGGTCGAGTCACCTACCTTAGCCTCAGAGTGCTCACCGTGAGACAGAGATAAAGCACCTGCCAGGCAGCTCTCCCAGGGCCGCGGCAGACTTTCACAAACGTGAATGTGACCCTGACATTGCAATGTCTCCCCCTCCCTGCTGCCCGTGGGATGAATCCACGCTCCTGGTGCTCCACCGCCCACCTCTCAATGCCACAGCCTGGGCTCTTGGCCACACCCCGCTTTAGGGACTCCCTGGCTGTGCTCTGCTCTTGTCCCCTCTGGGCCACACAGATGCTCCTCCTGCTGCTTGGAGTTCCTTCTCCTCTGTGCTGTTCCTGGAAAGCCCTGCTGGCCCTTCAGGACCCAGGTCAGGGTCATCTCTCCCTCTCCTTTCCTGCTCTTGCCTCTCTACTGCATGGGAGCCTGGCCTCTGGGCTCCCAGGCCCCTCTCTCTGCCCCCCCTTATATCATCTTGTAGCTGCGACTCTTGGGTGGGAGCCCCCCTGAGCCGTGGTGCCTTGCTGGCCCGCCCTGCTCCCTACTCCTGTCCTCTCAGCCTGTCAGAGGGGGGCACCTGGGAGATGATGGATGGATGGGCACACGGATGGGGAGAGAGGCTAGGTGTGCGTGTACTTTGTAACCTGGAAAGCGCGGGGGAGCGTAGGGACGATGGCGGCCAGGCGTTCTCAGAGTGTGCGCTTTGAAACAGGCTCCACCTCGGAGAAGAGGAGCCCCGTGAAGAGGGAAAGGCCCCGCTCCCGCGATTCTGCGTCTTCCTGCCGCTCCTCGAAGGCGTCCAGTAAGTCCCGGTGGGCGGGAGGGGGCCCGCAGCTGCGCTGTGATCTTGAGATTTCGGGCACTGATGAAGAGGGCGTTTGTCTCACCTGGGACTGGACTGGAAGGGAAGGGAATCCGGAAGAACTGGGCTTTCTAGAGAGGAAACGTTTTCCTGGACTGGGGCCCGGGAACGTGAGGAGTTTCGGCAGGACCGCGAGGTTTAGTGGCTCCTCTCCTGGGGGAACGCTGTGGACTCTGTCCCGCGTGTGGGGGCCTGTGAGGGTCGGTGGTGGCAGAGGGCCATGCCCTTGGGGCTCCCCAGGTTTGGACAGTCAGGAGGAAAGGAGCAAGGTGAACTGTTCTCGTAGAGTCTGGGGGGCAGAGAGGTAGACACGACTTCACTGGGGGAGAAGCGGCCTGGCACCGGGGCTTCTCGGGTGGAGGGAGAGGGGAGTGTGGATGAAACTGCCAGAGTCTCTGCCCTCACGTACGCCTGGGTCTCTGGGAGCAGTCAGGACCCACACACAGTATCATAAGCATTTATCGAGAACCTACTTAATGTCTGAATCTGGGCATTAAAGATGGATTGTACGTGGACCAGCTCCCAAGGACCCCAAGGAATTCATGGTTTCTCGCCAACCATGTTATATTGCCATAGGGCTGCTGTATTTTTTTTTTTTTTTAAGAGAGGGAGGAAGGGAGAGAGAAAAAACCATTGATATGGAAGAGACACATAAACTGGCTGCCTCCTGCATGCCCCCTACTGGGGCTCGAGCCCACAATCTGGGCATGTGCCCTGACCGGGAATCGAACGGGTGACCTTTTGGCTCACAGCATGATGCCCAACCAACTAGCCTCACCGGCAAGGGCTGCATTTCTTATCATGAGTTCTCCTGAAAGCTGAGTGACCACAGCATTAGAGTACAGCCTGTGGAGTCCTGTGCGTTTTGCTCACCTTGACCTGGAAGCAGTGCTGTGCTGTGCGGGGCTGAGAGCCCCGGGTGGGGACAGAGAGGGGGGTTCCCCAGAACAGCCTGCCCAGGAGCCTGAGCCTGGGTTGAGTGCGGAAAGTGAGGGGTTTGCAGCTGGGATGGGTTAGGGCAGGGGATGGAAAAGAGGGGCCTTATATCATGTGGGCATCACCAGCTCTCTCCCCAAAGCAGATCTCGAGTTTGTCATAGGACAAAAGAGCGTATATCTAACCAGAGGTGGAATTGGGTTGACAAAAATCCCCAGTGATTGTCAAGTCAAGGGAGTTTGTGCTGCAGAAACAGGCGGCTGGCAGGTTTCAGGGCGGATCATTCCTGGGGTGTCACTGACAGGTCCATCTCTCCCCAGGCTCAGCGCTCTGTGGTGAGACCTCGGCTCAGCCTGGGGGGCCCTTGCCAGGGGAACAGGCCAGATCTCCAACGCCCTGTGGCCCTTCAGAGGAGGGCAGGGCCCCTGGTGACAAACAGAGGCTCCGAGCCAGCCAGGGGCCACCACCGGTCATCAGCAGGCACAGCCCCGGGCTGGCCTCCCAGCCTGACTCCAGCCTGAAGACCAGCCAGAGGAGTGTCCAGGTGTCGGTCCCCTCATCATCGCAGCTGTCCTCCTCGGGCTCATCTTCCCTGCCCACGGTGCCTGCTGCCGGCACACTCGCCCTGCAGGCCTCCCAGTGCTCCATGACCAAGGCCTGCCAGCAGCCGCCCGTCGTCTTCCTGCCCAAGCTGGTGTACGACATGGTCACGTCCACCGACAGCAGCGGCCTGCCCAAGGCCGCCTCGCTCCTGCCATCCCACTCGGTTATGTGGGCCAGCTCCTTCCGCCCCCTGCTCAGCAAGACCATGACGTCCACGGAGCAGTCCCTGTACTACCGGCAGTGGACAGTGCCCCGGCCCAGCCACATGGATTATGGCAACCGCACCGAGGGCCGTGTGGACAGCTTCCACCCCCGCAGGCTGCTGCTCAGCGGGCCCCCGCAGGTGGGTGCGCCCCGGCTCAGCCTTGACCCCAGGGTGGGCGTCTGGGCTCAGGCCCAGAGGGCAGCGTAGGACTGGCGGCATCTCTTCATTCACATCTTGCCGTTTCCATGGCAGCATCTTCTGTGATGGCCCCACCGTGGGCACGTGGGCGGAGGTCAGGGCCTGGCGACTTCTGTCCTCTCACCTTAGTTGCTTCTTACATGACTCGGGGGGTGGGCGGGCTCTCTGGGTGCTTGTTGCTCCCCTCAGGAGGGGAGTCTTCTAGGGTGCCCAAAAGGCACCTATTTCCCACTTGCTTCATTTGGGCCTCGTGGCCCGTCTCTCACGCTGGGGGATGTGGGTGAAACCTAACAGGGAGGCAGGAGGGTTGTCAGCGTCCCAGCCCTACCCCAACCCATTGCATTTCCCTGACAACAGAAGATCATTTCACCTGTCCAATGGCTAAATCTTCAAGGTGTGGATGTCAGGTGTCGAGGAGGACTGTAGGTCGGTGTCCGGTCTAGGAACCGGCTTTGTCAGAACAGACAAAGGCGGAAGGTGGGTCCTGGAGTGGGCTCCCTGGGGTTGAGCTCTGACTCACCCATCCCCTGACGCCTGGGTGGGTCGGAGTCTTTTCCGTGCCTCCCTGTTCTCATCTGAGAATGAGGAAAACACTGGTACCTGTGTCATAGAAATGAGAGCGTTACCCGAAAGGCTCATCCCAGGCCACCCGGAATGTGGCCTGACCGTAGAAAGCATGTCGGTTATTGTCCTTGCCATCAACAGCGTTACTGTCAGAATTCAGGACGGGCTACCTTTTCATGGAACGTGTTCATTTCAGGAATCTTTTCCAAGAAATGCACACCCTCAAAAATACGTATAAGAAGGCTCATTTTAGTATTGTTTACAGTAGTCAGAAAACGACTGGAAACAATTCCATTGGTCAAGGTTGGTTGAATAAATTTGGTTGATTTCATACTTCCTTTTTAAAAGGTTAGTTATTTCCATTTATCAGCATTTGTTGAGTTCTTACTGTGAGACAGGCACTGAACTGAGAAGTTGGAAGGCACCTTCCTGGAGTAACGGGGCAGGAGGGGAGCCTTCTAGGGTGTCCAAAAGGCACCTATTTAACCAACTGTGACCAAAATAAACCCACGACCGATAGTGTACTTGCCTGGTGCTCAGCCGAGGAGGCAGGGGACTCAGTGATGTGATAAGAGAAAGAAAAGTCATTTTCTTTCTTTGCCTGGACTTAGGGGGAGATGCTAACTCTTTATGTCTTGCACGGTGAATTTCGTCTTCTTACTGTTGACATATCGATTAAGACAAGAATAGCAAGCAACGTGCAGTTATGCAATACTCTTAAGAAATCGTGTTGGCAGTTTATTTTTTCTGAAGCAACCTTTCTTCAGATCCCGATAAAGTCCTATTTCTAACAGCTTAAAAAATATGGCCAGTTAGAACCGGGACCAGGGTTGCGGTGGGTGATCAGCAGGCAGGCCTCCCTCTCGGAAGTCCCCCCGTCTACCGGCCACGCATCCTTAGGCCCCATTTCCCTCGAATGTCTCCACGTCCCCCGGGCTCTCGTTTGAATGAGGCGGGATCTTTCATCCTGCCCGCGCCTGGCACCCGGCGCGCTGACTGGGCCCCGAACCCCGTGCGTTCGCAGGTCGGGAAGACGGGCGCCTACCTGCAGTTCCTCAGCATCCTGTCCCGGATGCTCATCCGGCTGACGGAGGTGGACGTTTACGACGAGGGGGAGATCAACGCGGGTGAGTTGCCGCCGCGACGTGGGGCGAGGCACCGCCTTTGGTCCGCTTCCCGGGGACTCCGCATCCTTTACTTTCCAGACGGAATTCTCAGGCTCGCGGTCAGACTCACCCCCCAGGGCCTGTGGGCGCTTTGAGGTTTCCGTGTGGTCATTTGCTCAGTATCAGGACGGTGCCCTGGAGGCCTTTGCGGGGATAAAATTACTACTAAAAATACGGTAGTTCCCACGTGTCCAGCACTGTGCTAGGAACTCCACATAAATGACCACATTTAATTTTCTGCAAAACCCCTCGAGCTAGATGTATTACTCCTGGTACGTTACATGCCTTATCTGTTTTCCTCTTAACCTTTAAAAGACGGCATTTAAAAGACAGCATCATACAAACTCCATATATTTTCCAGGATCAACTGTACAAATGGTTTCTTTCCTTTTGCCTGTAAAAAAGAACATATATGCTTAGGTTTCTGAGTATTTAGGTAACGTGCTCAGGAGCCTGGCTGGGAGGTGGCAGAGCTGGACCGAACCTGGGTTTGATCGCCACCTCTGGAAGGCAGGGTTAGCCCTCAGGGAGGTTCCCACTCAGGCAGCTGAGCGCATAGCCTATATCGTGGGGCAAAATGGAAATACAGGATATGTGGGGAACAGCCTTTCTCCTTGCCCATGGGACAGAATTTTCCCTGATGAAGGGAAGACTCTTTGAACAGCTGTTTTGTGCTAATTGCAGGACACGCCCCCCAGTTCCTCTTCATAGGAGGCTCATAAATGGTGTTTTCTGGTGGCTCATAAACTCAGTCTGGTAAACAAATGGTAGTTTGGGAATTAAAAGTTAAGGAGTCCTGTCTGTGGTGTAAAGGAAAGGGGACCAGGAAGCTGCTCTGGCATCTAAATGGCACTTTTAAGAAAATTGTATGTACAGGGTGTCCCAAAAAAACATATACACCCTTTGAATAATTATTAATTCCAATGGGTTATATCTGAAAAGAAACATCAGTTGCGCTATCAAAAATGTATACGTGTACTTTTTTGGGGGGCCACCCTATATTTAAGGTGCACGACTTGACTTGATGTACATGTGTACTGTGACGTCATCACCACGCTCAAGCTAATTAACATGATCATCACCTCACGTAGTTGCAGATTCACTGCAGCCTTAGTCACAATAGCCAAGATACGCAGGCACACGTTGCCCGCGGAGGGGTAAATGTCCATCGGCAGATGAATGGATGATGGAAACACAGCACATACATGCAGTCGGATAGACTCGGCCTAGAAAAGGGGAGACCCCGCTGTCCACACCCAGCACTTCTCCAGATGCTCTTGGCTGGGCTTCAGTTTGGGAGAGAATTTGGAACCACAGAAACCCACCCAGCGGGGTCTTTCCTTTGAAGAGAAGAGGCCCTTCCAGCTCTGGGTTTCCCATGGTCCCCACAGTTTGGGACCATATTTCAGGTGAAAATCTACCATGTTTCAGACGAGAACAGGCCTGCTGAGTTTTCATCTCCTCCTTTCTTGGAGATACCAACACTAAAGACGGGAATTGAACCTAGTTTGTTAAAACTTCAAAGCCCATTTTGTTAAATGCTCTTATTTCCTGGGTTTTCTCTTTGGTACGACCTGGAAAGTTCCTGTTTTACAGGGTGTTGTGGAGATGAGATGATGTTACACACGCAAAGCTCTGAGCACCTACAAGTACACGATCAACATTCCCCCTTTCTTTCCTCCTCTCTCCTCCTCCCGGCGGACGTGCACTCCGCCCGCGCGCACAGTGCGGAAGGAGAGGGGTAGATACAGGTAGATGCATATACTAGATACATAACCAATGACATAATTTGAGTTGGACCAACTAGACTTTTAACCTTTGATCAACAAGCATTTAGCGAGCACCCATAGGCTACCCCCAGCGTAATGTCAGATGACCCGTGGCAGGTGTAAGAATGGTGTGGGCCACGAGTGGTGGTGGCATTGAGAGGGCGAGAGCAGTGGGCTCCAGCTCTTTCCAGAGACGCAGGGCTTGGAGCCGGGCCGTTTTGGCTGGGTAGCATTTAGACACAAGCGCAAGCATGAGAACTGCATGTGGTTCCATGGGCGCTGGGAACCAGTGTGGTGTATTTGGGGATGGTGCTGGCGAGAGGCACGGAGCCCAGGGAGGGGCAGGTCTGCCGGGAGGAGCTGAGGCCAGTGTGAGGGTCGGAAGAGCAAACCCATCTCATAGGAAACAGCATAAGGCTGTTGCTCTGGAGAGAGGGCCGTCTGAAGGGGCCCCCTTGGCTTGTTCGAACAGCCCTGAGAGAGGATACGCCTGAGCCTTCCAGATTCGGGCATGTTCCCAGGAACCCACAGACTCAGCAGCAGCTCCGCCCCGAGCACCATCCTCGTGCTCATCCGAAATAAGTCCCTCTCTGTTCTCGCCTCGTCACGTATCTGCGTGTCTCCCGACCCCGTAGACCTCAGGGAAGAAGCCGACTGGCATTACGTCCAGCTCGGCGACCCCTGGCCGGACCTGGAGCTCTTCCGGAAGTTGCCTTTCGACTACATTATCCACGACCCGAAGTACGAAGACGCCAGCCTCATTTGTTCACACCATCAGCACGTAAAGAGCGAAGGTCAGATTTTAAATGTCTTCCCGAGTCGGTGGGAGTAGCCTCTTCACGGGATAAGCCAAATTTTGTCAGTAACGAACTTAAATCATTCCGTGGTGGCGGGTGAGTCAGCAGTGTCCAGCCGAGGTCAGCACCTCCCTGGCCAGAGAAGGCTCTTCATGAAACTCGGGGAGGAAGACCCATTGCTTGGTCAGTGCTAATGACAGGGACACTCTCGCTGCCGGTCACGGTCAGAATATTCTGAAGATCCTGCTTAGTAGAGACTAAAAGACACGTATCTTTGCTTATGAGTTTAGATTGTGGAAACAAAATGTTCGAATTTCCCTTCCTCCCTCGGGCTCTTGTTTCCTCCCTCCTTGCGGGGACCACTGACTGCCACAGAATTACAACCCCGCAGGGTGTCAGGGTCCCTGTCGGCAAACACAGAGGATGAGTGGCCAGTGTGATTGTCAACACCGATGGGAAAGTTTGGGGAATGCAGTGTGAGAGGAAAATACTCGCCAGTGTCCACAGCACACCGATAATTTTATCTCCGTGGTTCTTAGATCACTTTCACGGCGGGTCCCTCACGAGACTCGTCTCTAATGCAAGCCAAGGGCTGGGGTCTTACTCCTGCTGAGTCACTGGGAAAAACGGGACAGTTCACCTGCGTTACGGGATCTGCGTATTACACTGGCCATCAGTTTACATGTCATGTGGCGGATCCTTGAATATAGGTTGATGAAACATGCAGGGGCTCACGGGTAAGATGACAGTCTCTTAGTTTATCCCACTGAGACTGTCGTTTCTTTTTTTATATATGCTTTTATTGATTTTTAGAGAGAAAGGAAGGGAGAGAGAGAGAGAAATATCGATGAAACATCAATTGGCTGCCCCCTACTGGGGACCGAGCCGACAACCCGGGCGTGTGCCCCGAACCAGAAATCGCTCCGGTGACCTGTTGGTACACGGGATGACCCTCAGCCGCCGAGCCACACGGGCCGGAGGCGACGGTCGTTTGAGTCGCCGGGGCCTCAGATCCTAGGCCAGCGTTCCAGTTCGTCCTCAGCTTGTTCCGTTGAGTGGCAGGGAGAGAGGTTGGCCCTGTAACGCTGGGCTTCCCTGCAGACAGGGGGCCGCCCAGGAGGCCGGAGGAGCTCCACGTGCGGCGGCCGACGGCGCGGATGCGGCTGTCCAAGTACGCGGCGTACAACACCTACCACCACTGCGAGCAGTGCCACCAGTACATGGGCTTCCACCCCCGCTACCAGGTAGGCGCCGGCCGCGTCCCGCTTCAGCTGTTCAGGAGCCCATCCTGGGGTGGGAGGTGGAGAGCCCTGGACGCCCTCGCGTCCCGGCCTGCTGACCCCCTCAGCTCCCCGCGGTGCTATGCGAAATGCCGGCGGGTGCTGCCGAGCGGTGAGGTCCAGGGCTACCCCGGTGTGAGGAACAAGGCTAACTGGCTGCAGATGTCTTGATTACCTTGACGTCCTAGTAACTTCAACAGTTCAGTGCAGCAGACTCCCGAGTGCGTGCTCCTTAGGCGCGGGCGCGGAGGCGAATGCCTGTTGGCTCCATGCGCAGGACTCCTGGTGCAGGGCCAGAGGGATGCTCACAGCAAAAACTCAAGAGCAGTGGGAAGCCGGCGGGAAGAGCAGGTGGTTGAAGCACAGAAATCACGTAAAGAGAGGAGCTTGCACTTACTGAGCACCTACTACGCCCCAGGAGATCTGCTAGGCACTTTACTTTTATTTTATTTTCATTTATATTATTTTTTAATTCTCATCTGAGGATATATTTTTATTGATTTTTAGAGAGGAAGGGAGGGGGGAGAGAGAGAGAAACATCAGTGTGAGGGAAACACGGATCAGTTGCCTCCTGTACTGGCCCTGACTAGGGATTGAACCCACTACCTTTTGGTGCATGGACCATGCTCCGGCCGACTCGGCTGCACTGGCCAGGGCCTTCCCAACCCTTTTATGTGGTAGACAATGTCATTTGCCCTGGACACCAGGGAAATGGATAAGGCTACTGGTGTGAGGGAGGGCTCTTTGGACAAAGAGGTAAGATTAGACTTGGGGACGGGAGTGATCCCAAGACCCCTGAATGTCGGTTTCCACATCCTAACGTGGGGCTGATGACAGGACCTGCTTCATATGATTGTTAGTTACACTCCAGAGGGGACAGAGGGTGCTGGATGGAGGGAGATGGAAGTATACAGGTGCGTGCAGTTCTTACTGCTTTATTAATGTGCCACTGCACATGCAATTACACAGGAGGGAGGAACACACGGATGAGAATGAAAATGGGATCCGCAGTGTGACTGCTTCAGTAGATAACCCAGCACCCTGGGTCGAATCCAGTCCAGAGGGGTTGGCGCCGGAAGTGGGGTACCTGGGTGGAACACGATCGGGGTTAGAGACGGGGTCAGGCTTCAGCTGAGAGGGTGTGGCCTCAGCAGCCAGACCTGGGTGCCCGCACCTTGTACTGGTGTCACCCTGTGGGTTTCTCGTGCTGTGGGGCAGAGGTGGCAGTGACCCGCGCGTCGTCATGGCCGCGGTGGGCCTGGGTTCTTCCGGGGAGTTTCGCCGGACGCTGATGGCAAGCTCTGTCCTTTCCCCCGACCCCAGCTCTATGAGTCCACCCTGCACGCCTTTGCCTTCTCTTACTCCATGCTAGGAGAGGAGATCCAGCTCCACTTCATCATACCCAAGTCCAAGGAGCACCACTTCGTCTTCAGCCAACCCGGAGGCCAGCTGGAGAGCATGCGGCTGCCCCTCGTCACCGACAAGGTACTGGCTCGGAGGCCAGTGGGCCCGACCTGTGTGGCTGCAGGTGACCGCTGAGCTGGAGCCCTGGAGACTGTGGCTGCCCATGAGTCAAGGGCAGGTGGGGGGGGGGCGGGGTTGAGAGACCGATGTCGTGATTGAACTTGAAGTAGGAACATAAGGCCGTTGGGGTCACTCAGAGTCAAGTTTGAGCCTTGCTCTGCCACTTACTAGCTGTGCTGTTTTATTTGAACTTGTCCCTGGATGTCTCTGAGCCTCAGTTTCCTCATCTAAACCAGGGCAATAGTAAGTCTTGCAAAAGCTTGTGGAGAGAATTACTGGCAGAGCGGACATGAGGCGCCAGGACAGCGCCTGGAAGACAAGTGCCGAGCAGACGCTGATCCTGCCCACCCTTCTTTAATGCTCTGTGTCCCGGACAGTGACACAGGCGAGGCGCTAGATAGTACGGCTCCCGCAGGGCCGCTGCCGACTCCCGCAATTGTTGACCCCGGGGTGGTCCTGTTTCGCCCTCTGTCCTTTCCTCTTCTGCCTTCCTGTGTTATCTGGAAGCGGATCGCAGACATTGTAGTATTTCACACACAAATATTTCCACGTGTATCTCTGAAGGGTCATTTTCCACTTCTGACAAGGTTGTTCTTACGAATCCGTCATCTCGCCGTGACCACCATTCTTTTTTTGTTAATTCTCACCTGAGGNCCAGTAGAACTTTCTGCAATGACAGAAATGTTCTATATCTGTGCTCTTCAGTATGGCAACCACTAATCACATGTGGCTATTGAGCACTTGAAATGTTTCGGGTGTGACTGAAAAATTGGATTATGAATTTTAGTTAATTGTAGTTAATCTAAATATAGACCTAAGAAGCCACAGAGAACTAGTGACTACCATGTTGTAAAGCACAGTTTTAAAGGGAAGCATTTACATCAAAATTCAGATATTTTATAAACCAGCATTAATAAATGGAATGCAATACTACAGGGCTATGAATCCAAGCAGCGTTGTGCATCTTCTGTAAAGCTGTCTTCATGTAGATTTTAAAAAACCTTTTTAAATGCTCTTGGGCTTTCCCTACTGTAAAGATGCCTGTTCTGAATTACTATTTTTTATTGTATGCGTGGAATCTGTGCTACCTTCAGAGGGTATTTATTTATTTATTTATTTTTAAATATATATCTTTATTGATTTCAGAGAGAGGAAGGGAGAGGGAGAGAGAGAGATAGAAACATCAATCATGAGAGAGTCATTGATCGGCTGCAGCCCGAAGCCTGGGCATGTGCCCCCACCGGGAATCGAACCCCGATCGCCTGGATCTTAGGTTGACGCTCAACCACTGAGCCACACACGGCCAGGCAGAGGGTATTTATTTAGACAGGGTCATCACCATATTCCTGTATAGCTTGTCCAAGATTTTTTTAAGAGGGTGATCAAGAAATGTTAGTAAACATGACCGCAAATGTTTGTTTTCCATATGGTAGATTTTGACGATTGCCACGTATGGGGAGTTTGTGACCAGATGTGCGAAGATCGAATTGGCCATCACCAGTGCCACTGTGCAGAAGGGTATATCTTGGAGCATGAGCGGCATTGCAAAGCTAATACTTCCTGTGAGTAAAATAAGGACACTTGTATCTCTGAACAGTAAACTTGTGACTTTGATCCTCCTTCCACAGTAGATGACAAAAGAAAGAATAACATTTATGCAGATGGCAGAATTAGTCATCACAAATCAAGAGTGGCCGCTGCTGCCGTAAGAATGGGTCAACATGAACTTCACAGTTTGATGATTAAGGACTAATTTGTGAATTATGATGATCATTATTTTTATTGTTTTTATTTTTTGTTAATCCTCACCAGAAGATATTTTTTCTATTGACTTTTTTGTTTGTTTGGTTTTTTTGTTAGAGAGAGTGGAAGGGAGAAGGAGAGAGAGAAGCATTGATGTGACAGAGAGAGACTGATTGGTTGCCTCTTGCACGTGCCCTGACCAGGGCTGGGGATCGACCTACCTGCCACCCAGGTACGTGCCCTTGAATGGGAATTGGACCCGTGACCCTTCGGTGGGCAGGCCAGTGCTCTAACCACTGAGCCACACTGGCCGGAGCCATTTTTACTGCATTTTATCAGTAAAAGCAAGTCCCAAGGCTAAGCTGGATTCAGGGAGTGCGGAGACAGACATTTCAGAGAGTGAGGAATAGCTGTGACCATGCTAAGAAACACATCTCTTTATGCCTCTACTTTCTAGAGCCAAGAATATATAAAAAGTCCGACCTTCACCCCGACCACCGGCCGTCACGAGCACGGGCTCTTTAACCTGTACCATGCGATGGATGGGGCCAGCCATCTGCATGTGCTGGTCGTCAAGGAGTATGAGATGCCCATTTATAAGAAGTACTGGCCCAACCACATCATGCTGGTGCTCCCCAGCATCTTCAACAGCGCTGGAGTTGGTAGGCGCCTGAGCATGCCCTGCTGGAGATGTTCCTGGGAACGGAGGCTGAGAGTGTTCTAGAGTTGACAGGGTCCAACGTTTTTCATTAAGCCTTTTTTTCTTTAAACTTTTCTTTTGTCAAACCTCACTGGAGGATATTTTTTCCATTGTTTTTTATTTTGAGAAAGAGTGGAAGGGAGGGGAGGGGAAGAGAGAGAGAAACATCGATGTGAGAGACACACATTGATCGGTTGCCTCCCGCATGCACCCCAGCTGGGGCCAGGGATCTAACCTGTAACCTAGGTATGTGCCTTTGACCAGGAATCGAACCTGTGACCCTTCGGTGCTCTAACCACTGAGCAATACCGGTCAGGGCTCAGGCCTTTCAATTTTAAAGTTATTTTGATTTGTTGGACTATTTCTTTCTTTGATGTTTGGTGATTCATTCAATTTATGTTCTTAATTCACGTTAGAAAAGGGTAAGCTGACAGATGTTTGCGCAAATTGGAGACGTGTGTTTTCTCCCCTAGAGTTTTCTCTCCCAAATCAACAGCCAGTAGTGAGTGGACGAGGGATGCAGAGAGGACCTTAGGGAGCTGGCTGGCCTCGGGGTGGGGCCTCGATGGCCGCGGTCTTCCTCCCGAGGGCCCTTGTGTGCCAGCCAGGCCTGAGTCGGGGGTGGCTTTGCCCGTTGCAGGCGCCGCCCACTTTCTGATCAAGGAGCTGTCATACCACAACCTGGAGCTGGAGCGCAACCGGCAGGAGGAGCTGGGGATCAAGCCGCAGGACATCTGGCCTTTCATCGTGATTTCCGACGACTCCTGCGTGATGTGGAACGTGGTGGACGTCGACGGTGGCGGGGAGAGAAGCAGGTGAGGCGCCTCCCCACGCCTGCAAGTGAGACAGACGCGCGCGCTCTTCAGTGGGGATCCTGGAGGGCTCGCCTGTCGGAAAGCATCCTACGAATCCCTGCATTCGGCAGGCTCACGTTCCAACCCTTGTTTTGAGTTTAAATTTAAAAAAAAATTAAAGTATAATACACACAATAAATTGCACCATATATATTCAATATAAAATATATACAAAAAGAAAATATACAAGTACAGAAAATTTCACAAACTGAACACGTCCATTTAACCAACTCCCATGTGAAGAATGGGACCCTCACTGCCCCCCAGAAGCCCCCGCATTGCCTCCCAGTTCCCCCCGGGCCCCGCAGCCTAGCTCCTCACGCCCTGGCTGTGTTTTACTTGCTGTGTGACGTCAGGGAAAGCACGCACTCCCTTTGGCTTCTAGTTTCCTCAGCTTCCAAAGGGGCGCTAATACCTACGCCGGAGGTTTGTCGTGAGGATTAATGAATCTGTGGATGGTGCGCCGGCTAGTGGGTGGCCAGCAGCACAGTCTCCGAAGGGCCCAGTAGACGGAGCTGTATCTGAGCATCGCTCGTAGACCGTCTCCTGGTGATTCTGTGGTGTTACTGTGTGATGTATGAGTGTTTCAGCCCGAGTCTGCGTGACAGCTTCTGGTTATTTTTGGCTTGTATTTTATAGACCCAACATTAGGCTGGCTCACCTCCTTTGTGTTAGTGACACCCTAATATAACAATCACCCTCAATCACCTTCTAGAAAAGACATTTTCTGTTGATGGAACGGCACGTGGCTTAGGAGAATGGTGATCTGCTTTGCTTTCAACATTGTCGCTGTCACTCTTCGGGGGACAAGAGCTCGCTGAGGGCCAGGATGGGGGGAGAGCTGAGCTTTCATCACCCTGTCTTTCTCAATTTCATTCTGAAGCAGCCGTTAAAGCCCCAGGATGTCAGCTCCAGCAGGGGCCTTAGAGAGTTGAGCATAAGCCCCTTGGGTAGGGAAAAGAAAGCTGAGGTCCAGAAAAGTCGGGCAGCTTGCCTGGGCCGTCGTGGACCCGACGCTCGCCCCTGACTCCCAGCCCTGAAGTCACCCTTGCTGGTCAGCAGGCACCTCTCTGTCCTCACAGGCCTCACACACAGCCCCGTGGGGTGGGAGGTGTTCACAAGCTGCCTCTTCCCCACTCTCACTTGGCACCCGCCGTAGAAAGCCTCGCCCCTTCCCACCCTTTTACCTTCAGATCTGCAAACCAGAAATGCGAGGTGGTTGGCATGGTGGGGGGAGTGTGGGCCGTGGAGGCAGCTGGTCACATCCAGGCTCTGTTGAGTGACGCCGCGCAAGTCACTCGGAGCCTCATATCCCTCATCTGTGAAATGGGGCAGTGATGTGCCTGTGTCACAGGTTTGCTGCGAGGATAGGTGATAACAAAGGCGAGGTGCTCAGCCTGGCGCCTGGCCCCCGCGATGGCCGGTGGTCGTGGCAGAGTCGACCCTCGCCAGCCCGCCCGGGGTGTGGGCTCCGCTGGAGAGCCGCATCCCGGCCGCCCGGCCCCGAGGCCTTGCTCTTGTTTGCATGTGAACCTAAGGCGGTCACTTCCCTCCTCCGAGCAGAGAGTTCTCCTGGTCGGAGAGGAACGTGTCCCTGAAGTACATCATGCAGCACATCGAGGCGGCCCCCAACATCACCCACTACGCCCTCATCGGCCTGCGGAAGTGGTCCAGCAAGACCGGGAGCCGCGAGGTGCGCGAGCCCTTCTCCCGCTGCCACGTGCACGACTTCATCGTTCTGAACGTGGACCTGACCCAGAACGTCCAGTACAACCAGAACCGGTGAGCTCCTGGGCTGCCGGCCACCAGCACGGCCCCTGACCCCGGCCCCCA